ATGAAAAGCTGCCCAAGATTCATAAATTTTAGAATAAAGAATGTTGTTTTTAATCTTTATATAATAAGTACTTTATTTAAATGGTTATTTCGTTATTTATTTAAATGATATTTCGTCAACTTTGAACCTCTGTATATCAGTAACCGATTACTATTTTTTTTAAATTTCAAATGGCATTTAATGCACTCATATATATACAACACACGTACAATATTGAAAAAAGTGTGTTTGAAACTTCGAAAATTGCATTTTGGCCAGGTTTTCGGCCATTCGGACCACTGTGCGACAATGCACCTGCACCAAAGCCGCAATTGAGCATCAATTTTTGGCTAAAAAAGACATTGTTATCTTGGATCATTCACCCCACTCGCTTGATCTGTCACACTGCGATTATTTTTTTTCCCAAAATTGAAAATTCCAATGAAAGGGACACATTATAGCAACGTTTCGGATTACGCGGTCTACCAGCTGTATTAATGCAGAGGGTGATTATTTTAAATAAATAAACGTGTGTGTACAAACTTTAGTTGTACTTTTTTCTTTTTATAGCAAACGTTCAGTTTCTTTTTAGACAGACTGTGTATATAATTGTATTTTAAATGATGGCAGACACGTTGAATAAATTGTGTGTTGTTACCCTCAGCCATATGGCAATCACTTCGTGCACCAATCATCTGGTGATAACCCGCAATTCATTTCGTATAATCCGAAGTAGATAATATTCTTATCGTGCATTTTCACGTTGAATCAATGCTTTCTTTTTGCGGCTAGTCTTCGACTTACTCGTTTTAAAAGTTTCGACGAACGCCCAAGTGTTCTAGCTATAACCATTTGCGAATGCAGACAAACTTTGTCCAACAAACGACCAATATATTGATTTCCAGACGTACCACCCCGTGTAAATAAAAGATGGCAAGTAGTGCGTTGCGTGAAATGAGACAATGCAAAACCAGTCATGCTCACGAATGTCGTAACATCTTTGTTGCTCGTCCTCTATAAGACGCCTGCCAACTGCAGGGGCTGGTGCATCTCAAGTTAGTTGGTTTAAAGTGTGCTAAGATATTCGGTATATTTAACCGCATGTACAGGGTGGATCACGAAAATGAGTTTAACTAACAAGGGAAGTTCGAATAGAGATCATGAGGAACTAATCACAGTGCCTTTTTCCATTTTGGCTTAATATTTTCCCCGCCATAAATATTTCTACTACATACTGCATAAAAATTGTATTCGAAATTTTGTGGACGTTTTCATACTGTATAACTTTTATCTAACCAATTTTGTTCTATTCTATACTCATCACGAGGGACAAACTTGCAAAAGGAACTGTGAAGGAATACATACTTAATTTTGTCGTCTAACATTCTTTCCTCGAATTTACGAGACACTGCCATTTTCCCTTTTTATTCTTAATAAGCTTTTCTCCTGACTCAATGTGTCCACCGTTTTAGTCCTACAAATTCCGTAATTGAATTTCAACGTTTTGACAATATTCTTTACCAATGTCCGACGAAATTCTTCGATACTGAGCTATATACGTGTCGTAAAATGTAAAACCATGAAACAAAAATAATTTTTGGAAAAAAAGATTAACCGACTTCAAGAAAATATTAAAACTGCATTAAGAAGTATGAAATAATTTCTATTTCCTTTATCTTAAATGATATAGAATAATATATTAAATTTCTATTTTCTTTATGTTAAATTATGTTAAATAACCTTTTCTTAGTCGGCACAAAATTAAAACTTACCTATATTCAAAATGACCAAACTTGATTTAACTCTCTGTCGAAGCGAGAAAACATATGGCCTTCAATTATTGCTATCATTATATCTACTTTATTCATCATATACATTAAGGGGGGAAGACCATTTAGAAGATCCGAAAATGAGCGGTTTTGTAGGTTTTTTTTTTAAATAAAATAGATTGTCGGATACTATTGGAAGTTTGCAGCCTTTTTATTTAGGCTTTGAATATTGTAAAAAAAAATAGAAATATTTTTTTTAATACAAAATGGCGGTCGTAAACGCCGGCCATTTCGCCGGTAATCTCACAGCTGTTGGGATTGTACCTTCGGTAGTAATTGTCTGAAACAGATGAACCAATTTTTTTTTTAAAGTTTACACCCATACGCTGTCGGTGTACCAGTAGAAATGAAATATATGCGAAATTCGCAAGATGGCAAACTATCAAAGTCAATATTGTGATTTTTCACCAAATATTCGTTACATTTTGTAAAAAACTATATGATGTGATTCGATTTCCACACGTTTCTTAGGTTCACCGATACACTCATAGTATAAGGAAGACCTATGCAAAATTTCATTTAAATCGGTTGAATAGTTTTTGAGAAATCATGCTAACAGTTCGGAAAAATGTAGTTTTGAGAAAAACTTGTTTAAAGTTTCAACAAGGGAAAACTCGATGATTTTGACGGCTTTCCGGTTAATCGGCGATTCCTGCGCCATAAAGCAACCCTTCAGCTTCTTCGTTGTACTCCTCTTGTTGTTGCTGTAGTTCTTTTCGGGCCTTTCGAGCTTCTTTTGAAGTAAATGAGCTGCGGGTCTCTTGGCGAACTAAGCGACGCTCATCAGCTTCCTCGGCGAAGGTCTTCGATTGCCTACCGACGCTGACTTCCATCGCGCCCATAATTTTCAAAACTGCAGAATTCCCTTCGTTGAAAATGCTGCCTGCTAGGTATGACGCAATTTCGACAATTTTCGCCCCCAAATGTAGATGTTTTGGAGCTAAACGCCATGCGGTGGAATTGAAACTTTCGTTGGCATTCTGCGTGTAGCCACCCAAGCATCTCTGCAATAATGTGTCTTCGGACAAGTCTATATAAATAGGCAAAATATACTTTTGAACGTCAGGGTGAAGAGGCGCAGGGTGTTTAAAATTTTCACCAGTGACATATGCCTTTTGCCACTTGCACCAGCTATCGGCTCCTGGCGGGCAGCCCTCGTGTCTGGGATTCTTGTCGGTGGAAGATAAGTGATGGAATATAGCCATTATGGCTTTCTTCATATTTTCAACACTTTCGACATTTCGTCGAATTACCAGTCCATAATATGTAGTCATTTTTTTTTATTAGGCTGTCGGTTAATTTTCCAGCTCCTCTTCCTCCAAGCTTATGAATTTTTTTTGCATTTCTCGACGACCGCATCGACATTTCGATGAGTCGTCGTCTTACCTGAGATGTCGTTGAGGGTTCGGATGGTCCGCTAAATCTAAAATGCGCAATACGCAACAGACGGAATACAGAAAGGACCAAACACTGACCCGCTGAGCCTCGGCCGTATACCTGTAGTCGGTCTCGGCTCATAATGACATTGGAAATACTTGAAATATCGCTCTGGAAATTTAATATGATATTCTTAACATATTAAACTATCATTTTCTGGAAATTTTTTTTTTTCGATTTTTTGAAGTTTGTAAATGGTCTTCCCCCTTAACACTATTCAATATCTCCATGCCCACCAAATACTATCCCAAACCTAATTAGACAGTATTTTCATAGGGTGAGTATGAGTTATGTCACTTCGTTAACGAAATCATATTATTCCATTAGAAAAAGAAATGATCTTGTTCTTGGAATCTAATGAAACATAGCCATGATAACAAATTGTTTTCTTATCAAAACATTACACTCGTGGAAAGCTTCAGAATAAATTAACAAAAATTTTTCCAACTGAATTACAATTAAAAACAGCAATTTCTCATAGTACTGTGGATGCTATATTAATTTTAACATTCGAACGAACTAAGAAATAGCAACAATAAAATTATCCTTCAATCCTTACGAACCTCTTTCATAATCAAAGTGTTACAGAATTAATTGATTATTTTGTTAGAAATCTGAAATTATTTTGCAAATTATTTCCTTTAAGGGGGGTGTCTGGTCCAGCTAATGTACGTTTCTAAGGCATATAATTTCCAGATATAATTAATTTTTGTTATTGAAACTTTTTTTACATATAAAGGAACATTCAAAGAAGAAAATTTGACGGTGTAGATTTAATTTGAATGTATACATATATAGATATAGTAGTCGCAAGGAAAGGATTCGGTCAAAACGGTGGGACGCATAGCTCATCGAATTTGTATCCGATTCATTTGATTCAACGCTTAAATTGAAGGTAATTAAGTTTATATGCTAATGAACCTCGACTCTTAATAAATTATTATTGTAGCATAAAGTTATTGCAAAATAACGGCCGACATGTATCGTTCATTTTCATGTTTTTTGCCGCTATTTTTGCAATTAACAATTTTTTTTGCAAATTGAGGTTCATACGCATTTTACGTATCTACTAAAGAAAAAAATTTTCTGATTTTATTTATCAGATGTTTTCCCAGAGCTCCCCATGTCCCACCGTTTTGACTGAATCCTTTCCTTGCGACTGCTATATCTATATATGTATACATTCAAATTAAATCTACACCGTCAAATTTTCTTCTTTGAATGTTCCTTTATATGTAAAAAAAGTTTCAATAACAAAAATTAATTATATCTAGAAATTATATGCCTTAGAAACGTACATTAGCTGGACCAGACTCCCCCCCCTCCCCTCCCTTTAAGTAACTCCCTACCGGGATATTTTTAAAAATAGCTATTTTTAAAAATTTATTTCTCTAAAACGAAAGAGAGTTGCCCCTTCCTACTTTCAGAGATTGTTCTACATACCATTCTTCACATGTGAACAAAATTTGATTAAAAATTTCGGTGCACACTTGGAGCTGTGTCCTTGTTAGTAAGTGTAATTTACCAAATGAAATTATTATTATTCTTCTTATTTTATACAAACTATTATTGCGATTCCAGTAATTTTATTTAAAAAAATTAGTAACTCTGAACTTCAAAAAGAAAGTTCACTTAAAAATTCCACAATTAAACAGTTAACTTACAAAAACAGTTTTGAAAAAATCTGATAAAACCTGTAAACCTTGCAAACTTTTATATTTGATAAACAAATTACGAATCTAAGAAAACAATGACTTAAACCCCTCCTGTTTTCACATAGACTATAGCATATTTCAATCTCATCAAAATATCTGACTTCGAGAATGCATTAAAGTGATCAATTTGAGCAAGGATCAGCGAATTTATCATCGATCCCTAAAATATAATAACGCAACTATCCTCCGTTAATAATACACCCGTCTATAGTATGTTAAAAGTATAATCGTGTAAGTTACATACGTATTCGAATCGATCCTTGCAGAGTTGACTGAGCAGACTTAGGAACCCGAGCGCCGTGAACCATGCCCACCAAAGGACAACTTCGTCCATATACTGCACGTTCAGCACCCCGAATAGGAAGATGAATTTGTAAAAGACGAAGTTCCAAAACTTGTCCTTCAGGTGTTGCCTCTCCGAAGCTCGAAGTTCACCGAACACGAGCTTCTGGATCGATTTACCCAGAAGGATTAACACGCAGTACGCCATATTAATTAGTGTCTGAAAGCAAAAATCAAATTCCACATTGTTCGTTTTTCAATCCAACTTGACTGTTACACTGAATGTTCCCAATTATGGTAACTATTCTAAATATCTCCTTTGCTTCAAACGATACGAAAAAATTGTTCCGATAAAAACTTTATACATTACGTACATTAAATTCCACTATTTCTTTCTTATGTATTTTGGCCTATAAACTCGAAAATCGCAATGAAAAAATGTTTACCATTTCGAAGAGGCAATATTGTGAGGATCATGTGAGGAAAAAGTATCTTAGAGTCATATTTTCCGAAATTTCAAGATCACCAGCTAATGTATTTCTAAATGGAATATTTTCATTATCGTAGTATTATAGTTGATAAAAAGGCGAATTCAAACATGTGTAATATGTTGACCATAAAATGACTGCAAAAAGTAATTCTTATACAATCATACTCATACTCCAGAGTCAACACACTATACATACATTCCGGGACAAAAAGATAGCACACTTTAAAATTAACATAATTTTTATTTATTTAACACTACAACCAAGATTTTGTTTTTATACATTCTTGAAAAATACCTCTATAAACATACACAAATAATATTGAATTGGATTTCCCCAGTCTATACAATTTTATTTATAAAAAAAAAAAAAAAAAAAAAAAAAATATATATATATATAGTGGGACAAAATGATAGCACATTTAACTTAAAATTGTGCATAACAATAAATCAACGAATGATATTTAATGCTTAATATCTTATGCCTCCTCCTTTACATTTAATTACAGCCATCATTCTCTTTGGCAAAGATTTATAGAGTTTTTTAATAGTTTTTTCATTTAATTGCTCCTACTCATATTGAATACATTTTTTTAATTCGGCAATATTTCCAAATTGTCTGCCATTTCAATATACAGCTCGGGCAAGATTTTCCCAACAATTTTCAATAATGTTAAGGTCGGGTGATTCCTTGCTGGCCAATCCAAAACGCGAATTTTTTCTCGAGAAAAGTATTCTTTTACTACTTTTGCAGTGTGTGTTGCGGCATTATCCTGCTGAAAAATAAACTTCTCTCCAGCAATTCTGGTGGCGTACGTGTTTATTTGTTCCTTAATCATTCCCAAGTACATTTTGCTATTCATTCTTCCTGTTATAAATTTGATTTCCATTTTACCATAGTACCTGATACCGCACCAAATCATCACACCACCACTTCCCATTTGCCGACGACTCGAAAACTGTTCCTCTTTTCGCATGTCGTGAAAATAGTAACTCAGATCATCAGGTCCATCTAAGTTAGACCTCTTTTCATCCGTAAATATTATTCTTCGCCATTTCTTTCGCATATGAATATTCTTTTCCGCAAAGTATAACCGATTCATCTTATGTTGCACAGTTAACCAGGGCTTTTTCTTCAATTTTCTTCGTGTTATGTATTTGTAGTTTTGTTAAAACACGTCTCACATTCTTTATATTAGTGTTTCCACCAACACTTTGAGCTATTTGCCTTGCAGTCATCTTAGAATTTGATGCTGCTCTTAGTATTGCACGTCGTTCCCGGGCATTTAAACTTCGCGGACGTGCAGAACTCTTCTTTTTACCATAATTTTACGGATTTTTCAAGAAGTTCATTATTACTTTTCGACTTCTATTCATAATTTTTGCTATTTTTGTCACTGAATATTGTTCTTCTTTCAATTTTATTATAGTGTCAATTTCACACGCGTTCAATCTCTTATCGCGACTCATTTTTGCATAATATTTCGCCTTTTTTGAACAAATATGCAATACGAAATAATATTACAGACTTTGTTAACTATGCTCCAGGGTTGATGTTTGCAATTTGCGAGCTTCAGTGTAACGGGAAAGCGTAGATTTACTACATGTGCTATCATTTTGTCCCGCTTGCGAACAATAATATTTACATTTTTTGTGTTTGAATCCTGTCGAAGTATATGTTGTGGACGATACTTCGTAAATTGTATTCATAGACATGCTCTGAGTTATCAGTGAAAGAAAATATGTATCTTACTCAGCTTTTAACACAAAATATGGGAAAATATAAGGTGTGCTATCTTTTTGTCCCGGAATGTATTTGCATTCAATAATGAGAAATCCGATAATTAAAAATTGAGAATTAAATGTACAATTGCGTGGTATAATAAAATTAATTTAATACTCTTCCAGCATAAATAGAAACAAAATTTGTAAGAGTTAATCTTGCTAGAAATGGAACTACGACTAAATTTTACTAAAAACAAATTAGTAGTAAATATCACAAAATATCCAGGGTGTTCCTTAATATGTCGTCGCTTTTTGGAGAGTAAGGTCCTGACACCAGTAGGAATCAAAATGTTTTTTAACAATTTATGAATCGCGGTTTTGTTGTTGAGATATAAACAGTTGAAATTTACAGGTGTGACTTCCAACGCGAGCAGTTTGAATCTCTGTTATCGCACCTAGGAGCTGGCCAAATAGTATGGGCCAAGCAGGGCGAGGTCATTGCTATCTGGCTCAGTTTTGGGCCCGTTGTTGTGGGACCTCGGCTACGATGCGGTCCTGCGGGCCCCGCTTCCCGACAGCGCCAGTCTTGTCTGCTTTGCAGACGACACGTTAGTGGTTGCCGTCGGGAGCACTTTCAAGAGGACCATCCGCCGTGCAGAGGTGGCAGTAACGGCTGTCGTCGCTAGGATCCGCGAGCTGGGGCTTCGTGTGGCCCCTGAAAAGACCAAGGCCATATAGTTTCATGGCGGGCCTCGGTCTCGGCCACTGCCCAGGTCGTGGGTCCGGGTGGGTGGAGCCTGTGTCGAGGTCGGGAGCCGAACCAAGTACTTCGGCCTTGTCCTGAACAGCCACTGGCGTTTCGAGGTGCACTTCGACCGTCTGGTCCCCCGTGTGGAAAGGGCGGTGGCCGTGCGTGGTCGCCTATTGCCCAATATCGGGGGACCTGAGGATCGTGAGCGCCGCCTATATATGGGAGTGGTGCGGTCTATGATGTTGTACGGGGCCCCAGTATGGGCCTCGGACGCGATGGCAAGCCGGCGCATCAAACAGCTGCTGCGGCGGCTGGAGAGGCGGATGGCCATAAGGGTCATCCGCGGGTACCGCACCATCTCCTACGTGGCGGCGCAAGCTCTGGCGGGTGAAATACCCTTCGAACTGCAGGCTACCCGCCTCGTTCAAAGGATTCCGCCAGAGCCAGAGATGGAGACGGTCGAGGAATTCGAACGCCAGGCCTGGCGACTGGCGCTCGCAAATTGGCGTCTGGAGCTGAGCTCCCACGCCGGCGAGCGCGTCGCCGGGGCTCTCCTGCCACACCTCAAAAGGTGGAGGAAGAGGCGGCACGGTAGGCTCACCTACCGGGCGACGCAGGTATTCGCCGGGCATGGCTGCTTCGGTGTCTACCTGTGTCGCATAGGGAAGGAAGCGGCGGTAGCCTGCCACCACTGTGGCGAGGAGGAGGATTCGGCGCAGCACACGCTGGAGGAATGCCCCGCCTTTTCAGCGCAGCGTCGAGTCCTACGGGCCCAAATTGGGCATGACCTCTCGCTCCCAGCAGTAGTTGGGGCCATGCTGGAGTGCGAGAGGAACTCGATAACGAAGCCGCAGTTCACAAATTGATAAATGACTTTTGGCTTTGGACTGGTGAAGAACCTTCAAAAAGCATTCACATATACTACGGTCCATAACTATAGCACCGCTACCATTCTCGTGCGTTTTGTAGATTTAAATAATAATTTCTAATTTTTAAAGAGGCTAAAAATATATTATAGCAATGATCAAACGGCTAGCATAACATTTATTTAAGACAACTAATAATAATACTATAGATAGTTCATGGGTGCACAGCTATAGCACCAATGGAATTAGAACATAACAACAATATTAAATTACAATTCTTCGAATGAATAAATGGCAACAAATTGTTCTCCAATATTTCAATGTACTCTAAACTATTCATTCTGGATGAGGAAAGCGCTAATTGCCACTCGAGCAAAACGAAGCCCATACCATAAACGTTCTTCCTCAAAAATCGCGTTTAGAGAAATATTTTGGGTCTTTTCGTAGATCTTTCCAGTAACAATTGAACCCATGTGGGCCATCGAAATTAAACTTTTTCTCATCGGAAAATATTACATAACAAAGAACGTTAAATGGAAGAAAATAACGTCACCTCTTAATTTGTCGATTAACATTATACTTACATGATCCCAGTTTTTATTCATGTTTTCGCAGGCGTATTCCATTCTTGCTATTTTGTGGCGTTTAGAAAGAACGGGTGCTGAAATTAATTTTTGTCTGGCAATGTTTGGATTCCTTCTGAAGACACGTTGAATGGTCCAACGTGACACTTCGAGTCTACATTCCGCTGCTATTTCCCGACAGCTTTTCAAACTATTGCTCCCAATTTTAATAATTTGCCTCCCAGCACGTGGGGACAGTTTCTTCTTAGGTCCTCCTTTTTATTTTGGTCATATTTCGACGGATTACGTAAAAAATTTGATATTACTTTAGAGAATGGCCCAAGTTTACGTGCAATTTCCCTAATTCCCAGTTCTAGCTCGTTATAAGCTAAAATTCCACCTTGCTTTTTGGCAATAGGATCTTCCTACGCTACAATATGTTGATTGCATTGCTCCCTCTGGCGATATGTTTGTCTTTTGTTTTATGCGTTACGTTGCATATGCGCTTCGCGTCGCATCCGTTTTTCTATATGTAACATTATTATGTAATTCAACCTTTCTTAATAAACCACGTGTGTAAAACTAAATATGCGTAAACTTTGACAGGTTATAGACCTAGAGTCTTTAAAATAAGCAATTAATTCAAAGTGAGAAGTGTTATAACGGCGTCAAAAAGAATGGAAAGGCAGTAGCGCTAATCAACATTTGTATTTCTCAAAATCAATTAAACCACTTAAAGAAGGTCGTAACTGAAAAGGAAGCCTGGGATAAATTAAAAGTTGTTTTTGAATTCAAAGGACCAGTGAGGAAAGCCACACTCTATAAAGAGTTACTGCGTATGACAAAACAACCAAACGTAACCATGACACAATACGTGAACGCATTCGAGAGCAAAGCCGAACAATTGGACGCAGCAGGCATACAACTGCCTAACGATCTCCTGTCAATAATGCTACTAGCTTCGTTACCATCCGAATACGAAAATTTTTGTGTCGCGATCGAATCCCGAGACGATGTACCGACGCTCGATTACCTCAAGACTAAATTAAAAGAAGAGGAAGCAAGACAGCAAGACAGACTCGACCACTACGATAATACGGAGAGGAAGAACGAGGCTCTGGTGATAAAAACTATCGCCAATAATGGTAAATGAAAAACAAAGGTATGGTGATAAACAATATAAAAAGGTCTCGGGAAATTGTTTCAAGTGCGGTAAATCCGGACACATTAGCCGCAATTGTAGATCAGGGATGAAGCGATATAGTAAAGTGGATGCTATGACTGTTGTCACATATAATACTGTAAATTCTCGATCCGATGCATGGTGTCTCGATAGCGGCGCGACGAGGCATATGTGTACTACCGCTGACAAATTTATATCATACCGAAATGCGACGACTGATGTATACACCGGCGCGGATCAATGTGTAAAATCGTACGGTTCGGGAAAAATAAAACTTTGTGTCCAAACAAATCCAAAGCGTTCGAATCACATAGAGCTAAACAAAGTAATATATGTACCCGAGCTTAAAAGTAATTTGTTATCAGTTTCCGCAATTACGGACAAAGGCTACGTAGTCAAATTTAGTCGCAACGGTGCGGTAATAAAACGCGCGAACGGAACAACGGCGTTAACTGCGACTAAACGTGGACAATTATATATTGTAAATCAAAAATATAATCGTGCGTTGTGCACAAATGTTGAAGATGACGGTCTAGTAAAATGACATCAGTGCCTCGGACACCTTAATATAAGCGATATAAAAAGACTGAAATCGTGCGATATGGTTAAGGGTGTGGATTTTAGAATAAGTTAAGGAACTCTAAATTGTGAAGTATGCAACAAAGCAAAAATATGCCAGCAGCCGTATAAAACCTCAATTAATAGAAGCAATGAGAAACTTGGTCTTGTACATTCCGACATATGTGGACCAATGAAAACGGAGTCATTGGGTAGAGCAAGATACTTCGTAACTTTTATTGACGATTATACGAGGTACACGGAAACGAAAACGTTACGAAGCAAAACAGACGTCTTCGATGCGTTTAAGAAATATAAGCGCCAAGTCGAAAAGCAAATTGGTTGCTCAATTAAACAGCTGCGAACAGACAATGCTAAGGAGTATCTTTCCAATGATTTTTCAAGATATTTTGAGGAAGAAGGCATCAAACGCCAACTAAGCGTGGAGTATACTCCCCAACAGAATGGAGTAGCCGAACGTGCGAATCGCACGCTCGTAGAAATGACCAGGGGCATGATGATACAAGATGATCTCCCACAATCATTATGGGCAGAAGCGATAAATGCTACGACGTTTATTCGAAATAGATGTCCTACGAAAATATTCAACAATCAAACTCCGCTCGAAGCATGGTCAAATAGAAAACCCTATGTTGGTTTTTTAAAAATTATAGGAAGTAAAGGATACGTATTAAACAATAGAGAAAATCGCAGCAAGTTCGACCCAAAAGGGGATGAATATGTGTTAGTCGACTATGACAACATATCAAAAGCGTATCGCTTATAAAAGAGAAATACGAAAACTGTGATTCGAGCTCGTGAGGTGAAATTTATTGAAAGAAAAGAACGAGACGAGGAATCAATCAAACATGAAGCAATTATGCCATTAAATATGGAAGAGGCCACCGAAGAATTTGAAGAAATCAACATAGAAGAAGAAGATACACCCCAGCCGGAAGAAAACGAGTCATATCACTCACACAATCAATCACTGAAGCAGATCCGTGTGTCTATATATTTGGAACCAACAATGATAAAGTTATAATGATTAGTTACGTTGATGACCATATCATCATATTATATTGGCTTCAAAGAGCATGGATAAATTAAATAACGTTAAACATAAATTAAAATCAAAGTTCGAAATGACTGATCTTGGACCAATTAGTCATATTCTAGGTACTACGATTAACAGAAACGGAGAAACAGGAAGTATGACTCTTACACAAGAAAATTATACCAAAGAATTGATATGTAAATTTAATATGCAAAATGCAAAAACTGTCTCGACACCCATCAAATCTAATACAAAATTATAAAAAGATATGGAACCATCAACGAACGAAGAAAAACAAGAAATGCAGAATAAGCCATATCGAGAGTTCATTGGAGGGCTCATCTACTTGGCAAACGCAACAAGGCCGGATATTGCGTATGCAGCCGCTTTATTGAGCCGATTTACTTCGAATCCTGGTAAAGCTCACTGGGATTGTGCAAAACGCGTTCTTAGATACTTGAATACTACTTCTAGTTACAAAATAGAGTACAACAAAGACGATGAAAAATTAATAGCGTATTCTGACTCTGATTGGGCCGCTGACATCGATGATCGGAGATCATGTACTGGAAATTTATTAATTTTAGCAGGTGGACCAGTGAGCTGGAAATCTAAAAAACAGTCTTCAGTTTCATTGTCTACAATGGAAGCAGAATATGTTGCATTGTCAGAAATATGTAGAGAAGTGATGTTTATGATACGACTAATGGACTGTATGGACTATGTAGAAACTCCAGTAACAGTGTTTTGCGATAATCAAACTGCTATAGAACTAAGTAAAAATGCGATGTATCATAAGAGAAGTAAACATATAGGCATTAGTTTCCATTACACGTGAGAATTGGTGGAAAAAGGGATTGTAAAAGTTAATTATGTAAGCACTCAATATATGAAAGCAGATATTTTAACCAAAGCGTTACAGAAAAATAAACATCAAAATTGTCTATCAATGTTAAATATAAAATAAATAGCCAGATGTGTGATTTCGTGAGTACGTGTGAATGCGAAACAGTATTTGCGATTGTAGCGTATGTAGATTAGGGTGGACCTTATTTTTCGACCATCTGATTTTTTTTAATGATAAGAGTTACTGGTATAACATAAAAATATCATCTTTTGGTTGTATAATAAGAAATTTTACTTGAAAGTTTCAACAATATTGTCAATAGAGCTATAAGCGCGCCAAACGGTCGCGTTGTTGTATTGTCTACGCGCGGGAACCGCTCGGCTCTGGCCGTTGCAGCTGCCAACGATATAACCAAAAAGCTATCCTTCTATTTCCAGTTTTATACCTGCTTCCTAGTCCCTTAGTCCCTTAGTAAAAGAAACCTCACTTTACGTCGAGAGTTCGAGGTATTCGCATCACGAAGTATCGAAATTTGTTAGTGTGACAGTGAGCAAAAATGGAGACAAGAAGTAGTGATAAATTGTTTATATTGAACTACTACGAACAACAAATTGTCGGTGCAAAATTGCCGAGTAACGGACAAGTGTTACGAGTTCTTTTCTATAATATGAGAAAAGTAAAGCTGGACCTTAAAACAAGTGCTACTCTAGTTATAAAAGAAACTGAAATATTTTGGGAGAAAGCACGAATACCAGTGAAGAAGACGTTGGATAGCATTGACAAGTTGAAGTCTCTTTATCAGAAATAGAGAACATTATATAAATCTGTCAATCGTCGAACTGCAATCCAAATACAGCGGGAACAAGAATTCAAAGATTCGTTTGACGATTTATTTGACATCGCACATGCGAATGCTTTAGAAATGATAAAAATCGAAGAAGATAAATTATTTCTATTGAAACAGAGGGAAAAAGGGCGAGTTGGACTAATGGGTGCCAGTGATCGTGCTTTAGCAGAAAAAGAAAAGCGGAAAACTCTTCGAGAAGAACGGACGAAAACACTACAAGAACAAGGTCAACAATCACTTGTACAAGGTAACATATATTTTTTAAATTTAACTCTTTTAAATATATTTCTAACGTTTTAGAAATAAATTCAGTATATTTATTTTTACATTACAGAAACAGTGTAGCTACAATCTTCGTCGTCATCCAGCGACGATATGACAATGAATGTACCGTTAGGTTCGGGCATTGGAATATACCTGGGCCGAGTGACCGAAAAAGAAAAGGAAAAGTCCAAGTATTTTCTTCAAAGTTAGTTGCAGCTTTAGATGCGTGCAAAATCAGCGATCGCGATGCTGTTCGTATTATTATGGCAACAGCAGAAAGCTTAGGTCACAATACAAATGAATTAATTATTAATCGCACTTCTCTTCGGCGATTTCGCCATAATTTTTACGCAGATCACGCCAACATCTGCGGGAAATGTTCGGAGAAATTAATCTCAGGGGGATAACTGTACATTGGGATGGCGCGATGTTGCCTACTTTGGACAAGAAAACTGTGGAGCGACTTCCAGTGGTAATTTCGTGCAACGGTGTACGAAAATGATTGGGGATACCTGCGATTCCTTCCAGTAGTGGAAGCGATCAGGCCTTGGCGATATTTGCAACCTTAGAAGAATGGAATTTAACGGACCACGTAGAAGCTTTACGCTGTGACACGACTTCGTCAAATACGGAACGATTACAGGGCGCATGTGTGTTGCTAGAACAAAGAATTGAAAGAGATCTTTTGTATTTTCCTTGTCGCCATCACGTATACGAAATTGTGTTGCGTGGGGCCTTTAAACTAAAAATGCCGAAAACAACAGGCTCGAATATTCAACTTTTTAAAAAATTTCAAAACAGTTGGCCTGAAATAATAAAAATAATTACATCCTGGGAACGCACGACGATTACGTTCTGAAACATATTAATGATATACAAAAAAAATCGAAATTTTTAAAAATTACACAAAAATGAGTCACCCAAGAGATGACTACAAAGAACTTTTAGAATTAGCAATAATTTTTCTTGAGGGGATTCCTTTGGGTGGCATTTCATTCAAAATGCCTGGCGCATTTTACCATGCGAGGTGGATGGCTAAAATAATATACACTTTAAATATTTATTTTTCGAAACGAATTTCCTCTCAACCAGGAAGAGTATAGTAGCATTAGAGATACATGTGTATTTCTAATTAAAATTTATATTGAGCCGTGGATTTTGACCCCAATGGCTGCTATGGCGCCACGTGTAGATCTAGAATTTATTAAAAATATAATTCATTACAAAAATGTTAACGAAGAAATAAGCGATGTGGCATTAAAAAAAATTGTGAACCATTTGTGGTACTTGTTACCGGAGAATGCGGCGCTATCGTTTTTTGATAAAAAAGTTTCAGTAGAAACAAAAAGATCGATGGTGCAAGCACTACATAATGTAAACAATAATAATAATTATAAGAGATACATGACAACGACTATAAAAATTAAAAATCTTGCGAATTTGAAAATACAACATTTCGTATCATCTGAATCAAATAATTTTTTCAAACGGTTCAATATAAATTTAGATTTTCTTTTAATTGATCCAGCACTATGGGAAACTAATAATAATTATATCGAAGCGACAGGTATTATAACAAAATTAGAAGTTGTGAATGACGTTGCCGAAAGAGCAGTAAAATTAATGAAAGATTATAATTTGACGTTATGCAAAAACGAAGAAGAAAAACAATTCATATTACAAATTGTAACCGATTATAGGGAAAACTACCCAAAAATTGATAAAACAATATTAAGTACAGATTTTAAAAAATTATTTATACTCTTATTATAATTAGCCCTATAAATAAAATATTTAATTATAAGTATTTAACTGTCTTTTTCTACTTTTCCTTATATTAATGTGAGATCAAATTTTATATTTAAAAAATAAATATTAAAAATTTTGCTTAAACAAATTCATTAAACAATTTAATTTTTTCTTTGATATAATAAGAATATTACATTAAAATAAACAAACTCGTTGCGACACGTCTTCCCTTTGTCCGATCGACTTGAAATTTGGAGGGAATTAGTTTTTTACCGAGTAGATCAGATTGCAAGGGTCGCATCAAATGAATTTAAAAAAAAATTTTTACACAAGAGTAACTAAGGTCTACCCTAATGTAGATAGAGGGAGTGTTGGCAATAGGATCTTCCTACGCTACAATATGTTGATTGCATTGCTCCTTCTGGCGTTACGTTGCATATGCGCTTCGCGTCGCGTCTGTTTTTCTATATGTAACATTATTATGTAATTCAACCTTTCTTAATAAACCACATGTGTAAAACTAAATATGCGTAAACTCTGACATTGCTCTTTCTCAGTAAGATATTTACCGCGTGTCATTGTATTAATTAATAAATAAAACTGAATTAGATGAAAATTTTGTGACAAACACGCTTGAAGTGTGATGTAAATGAAGGTGGTGCTATAGTTTTTCACCAATTCTATAATGTTTTTCGACTTTATCTCGATATATGCTTAGACTACTTCAGTATATTTGCCTCTGAAATTAATTATTTACATCGCTTTTTCATATTATTCAACTACTTTCTTTGAATTTTTCTTTTAAGTTTAAAAAATCTTAATAATATCAGTGGTGCTACAGTTATGCATCGCAGTGTATTAAGAAAGCATGTATAATGTAAAATTTTGATAAAATTCTTTTCTAATCTAGCTTTAAGTTATGTTTAAGTTGTCACGGTGGTTCGGTCGGACAAACCGTCGCGATAGGTTAGCGCCGACTCAGTCGGTCGCCAGGTTCGGTTTTAGCAGGGTCAGTTCTGCTCGCAAAGCACGATCGCTCTTACACTATTCGCCTCGGGCTCATGGACCATTCCAATCGATCGTCAGGTAGGAGGATCTTTGGAATCAGAGTCGGACGGTGGCCTGAAGAGGCCGAGCAGACAGCGATCGCACGTTTCGCTCTTCCCGAGCAAGTTGTTCCGGGGTAGAAGGTCCTTCGTTTCGTGGCTTCGGCCACGACGGCAGGACGAGGTTAAAAAACGAGAGCTTACAGAACAAAGCAACTTGTATCTCTATTCAAAGTAACAAATACTTGCTAGTTACCATAGCAGTTACCGATCGTTGAGCGTTGGGGACAAAAAGTCGATTAATCGACTACCGTTCGGTAAAGTATTAAGCACAGATCGTACAATTCGACTCGCTCAGGCGTTCTGCCTGCCGAGCGTCGCGGTCAAGGTCTCATTGGTTACAGATAGAATAGCAGCCGCGAGAAATGCAGCAGCGCGCGTCGGACGCCTAGCGGCGATCTGCGGTATGCCTAGCGCGTAGCGATGCGGGAGAGAGAGGGTCGCGACTAACGGACGACGGGATCCACCTGTTACAAAGTTATTTTTAAGTAAACGAAACCATGCACAAGCAACTAGACTGTTTTCATGGTTATTACATATTCATATATTTATAATAAATGAATAAATGAATAAATACAATTTTGCAATAGGCTAGAAAAAACTTTGAAATTAATCCCATAACCAACTAGAGGATCGTGGTTGCTCGCTCGCGAGTAGGGTTGTTCATGCTCGCTTAATTTATATAGCTATTCATATTTATTTTATGTGCGACCATTTACAGACCACACAAGGAACTTCACGATTTCCGATTACAGCGCCATCTATCGCGAATAAAAAAATGTTTGAAACTAGTGTTTTGAAAAGGTCTCATAGCCAGCTTTCACAGTGCACGATAAAAAATGAGGCGTTCCATTAAAAAAATCATGTTGACCTTGACGTGACTTTGACCGGTCCTTTGAAGGTCAAACGAACACAATCGTTCAATAGAATTTTTGAAACCCTAAAACATTTCTCGAAACCATTTTTCTCACAAATGTTCCATTTTGGAAATATTTGACTGTTTCTATACTTTTGGAGCACCCTGT